GCGATGTCCGCCATTATGAAAGTCGTGTATATGATCTTTGATCTTCTTTAATCAGTTTTTCATTCAATATTATAATTCGAGTTTATCGGGGAGAGCGTGCGCCATTATTAGTCCTGAAAGGTTTCGCTAATGACTAAGGGATTATCTGCGACAGAAATTGATTCAGAAAAGGGTCAACAATAGACGAGGCTTTTAACGACAACAATACATTGTTAATCAGGTAATTAACGCTTATTTTTGTGCTAAACAACTGATAAAATCATAAAACTACGGACTCAAGTTCTTAGAATGCTGTTGTTACCTCATAAACGAGAACACATCGCAACATGAGCCAATTATCTAATAAGACAAATAAGAAAATCTGAGGTGTACCACAGAGAAGAACCGTCGGTGTTGCAGGTATATTTCACCGACTTAAATCCTTCAGTTTGTCTTTTCTGATTAGGTAGACAACTAGGAAGTTTCTCGTCCAAATTTTAATTTCTCCATGTTGCTGTTGTTTTGGAAGCAGACTGGCAGAACAATTATCTTTTGAACTAAGTACAAAGACTCAAATTCGTCTATAATATGGAGGATCCTATTTTTAAACCAAGTGCATTTCTAAAGAGATCATATTCTCCCGGTCCACCGCCACGAAACTGAAATAGTGTCATGTTATTTCGGTTTGTACAAGCAAGGTTAAGCGATGTTCTAAATCGAATCAAACCCCTCTAGTTAATGCAATATAAAGTAAGACCTGACTTAATTGATTAACTAAATTCTCTATGCGTAAGGCTGAGTTCATATATCCCAAGTAAACTGAATTGAGTTCTCAGTACAAAGAAATTTTATGGAGCAATTTTAAATTAATTCCCTTTTTCAGTTCTTTAGTAATGATGTCGTGACTAAAACGAGTTGGCATTCAAATATTATAAGATGGACATGAGATGCCAGTGGTCCAGTTCTCACCAGGTATCACCTGAGTATTGTCCAGTCTTTCTGGTCTCAAATGAGCTAGCGTGGCACTGTTTGAAAACACCAACTCATGGGAAATTCTAGGCAATGAATTTTGCTCAAAAAGACTTGTTGACTTCCTTGTATGCATTCTTTTTAAAAACAAAAATTTAAAGGTAGGTAAATATTGCCTTTAGTGGAATAAAGCAATAATATTTTTCGTGCATTCACATTGCAAGGAAAAAATTGCATCCAGTTTTGGTTATCAAGTTTACCTCGACAATAAATGAATACATGTCATCACGGATTTGGAAGACATCTAGACGGCAAGGCATACAAAACTTTGATAAGTTCTATTTTTGTCGATAAAGTGGGTTCGCTGATTATCTCACCCGTTAAACTTAATATAACATTTACTTAATACTACACAGTGAGAAGAGAATTAGTTAATGCCGAAATGTGCCTGATCAGCTGCCTTGCGGGTTAAGTAAATAATTTTTATATGTTCAGATATGGCCTCAATTCTTTAGTCTTTGAAAAATAACGTTTCTCCAAAATATTGATCAATACGGTAAAGGATGTAATTTCCTGTCCTCGAGCAATATTTTACGTGCCTAAAATGAACAAAATTGTTAATTGAGAGAGCAGAATAAATTCTCAGGATTTAATAAATAAAGAGTACCTAACTGAGGTCGTTGTACTTAAATACGAAACATCAAGGGAAGCCATTTACGACTGCAAGTGGAAAGAAAAACGTGCAACTCCTGCAAAGCGTGCAAACTAATTATATATGGCAAATGAATAGTATTGCTTTCGGGGAAAGTTCAACTCCTTCACATAAATAAAACTAACGCAAGATTTTGATTTACAACTTTTCATTATCAACGCAAACGTAGTGCTTTTTAAAAAATGAATTCAGCCCATGCGGAAAATCGCTACATTAAATGAGAAAAAACAAAAACAAAAACAAAACATGAAAATAAAAACCCCACATTATGAATTCATTATATTGGACCATTTTTAACACTGCTGTTAATCTTAATCAATTACTGTATGCGAAATTACAATCAAAGTTTGATTGATTTTAAAGGGAAGTTTAATAATTTTACAATACCTCGAACAAAAATTGCAAATATAAGATAATTCGGATGAGGAAATTTGAAAGATGTAATAACTTGCGTGAAGTCAAATATGAAATAAATGTAATTTTGAAGTTTTTGAAGTATTGATCGAGTTTTTCAACCCTCTTCCTTTTTCCTCTTAAGTTAAATCATTAAGATAAGGTTCCGCTTCAATGATAATTGTTTTCTTGCAGATTCCTCCCTATAAACAGCTTAAGCATTGTTAATTAATGAGAAAAGTTTAAATTTAGTTCCTTATTTCGTTCAACTTACACATCGAAACAGCGTTGATCCGTTTGAAATTTGAATGGTACTTGAAATAATGCTGAACTTGACTCGATTTACCATTCGAAGCTAAATACAATTATGAACGATCAAGTCGACTTTCAGCGGGGGGTCGAGATATCCAAGGAAAATGAATGTCATGGTTGGTATTTTTAAAAATAGAACTTCTCGATTACGAAAAGAAGAAGAAAGGAAAATTGGCGACGATTTTCTTGCCAACATGTTTTGACTACAATTGCACAAAAAAATAATTTCCGGTCTAACTCATTATTTTTTAATAGAAAAGAAAGCATCTTTTTTTTCTTTTTTTAAGATTTCTCTTTCCTTTTTCGTGATTGATCTCTTTGAGAGCCAGGAGAGCGTTTGTCTCATTGCTCGGTAATATTTCAGTATCTTTACCAGATTGGCCCTGTTTGATGAAAGATTTTGCTTGGAAATAGCGTCGTCAAATCTCACAAAAAGAAATGGCTTTCTTGGCAAATGATACCTGCTAACAGAACACGACAGGTCTAAAGGTAAATATATTTGAAAGTTTATTTTCGAAGCATACTGTCTTGCCGCTGAGAAAAGTATATTGATAAGAATCAATTTAAATGGAGCGATTAAGTATCACCGCAATTTCCGTCTGGTCGAAAAGCAGTTGATTGCAACGATATGGGAGACAAGCTCGGTCTTCGACTTCCTCAATTTGCGGCAGTCTGACTGTACAGGACCGATATTCAAATTTAGCGGTGCACTAAATTCTTTAAGGTAACAACGGTGTATGCTGCTTTCTTTCTTTAATTTTCACACCGTAAAAACACGAAATGACAGTACGTTTTAGTGTAGAGATCGTACTTACAAAGCACGGCGATTTAAGGGTTAAACACCCTTTTCATTATGAAGCGAAAATGATTTACGTAATCGAGAATAACCATTATGCGCAATTTTTATAAAATAACGATTTGAATACTCAAAAATCGAGGTTTTCTAATGTCACGAAGAAATTTGAAAATAGAGACTGCATTAAGAGACTGCATGAACGAATGATCTCAGGTTAACCCTTCAACTCTCAGAAGAGATTAACATGAAACTTCTCACCATAATATCTCTACATTATCCAACTAACAGGTGACGAGAATACCAAACTTATTAGGTAGATTTTTGTTATCCTCATCCAAAGACCAAATCTTATAACTAACTTACATGGAAATCTGTAACAGCTTGAGAGGGGAATTGATAATAAGATCTTGAGAGTTAAAGGGTTAAGCTTAGCGAAGATCCAGTGGAACAAACTTACTGGGCGGCGACCAACAGTGAAAGGTCTTTGCGAAAATTTTAAATTCTGGTTCGTTTGCACTGGTAGGCGAAGAAAGATGCTCGAGTTCTCAAGATTCGCGAAAATGGCTTTACTCAAAGGGAATACGAGGTCACAATTGTCTTAAGTTCACTTCACTGCTAACATTAGCTCAACATGATATGATAGAAGAACAAATGCAAACCTTCTTGTTGTTTTAAGACAAAGGCAGGTGATAGGAAATTCGACGCCACAATTGTTTCCAGTCAAACTGTGTACATTATTCAGGGGAGAATGAGGGGTTTTATGCTGAAAAGACAAGAGTGTTTCGAATAATGGTAGGTTATTTATTTGAAATAATCGATTTTTTTCTGGCTGCAAACCTGTGACTTTTCAAAATATCGTTTGAACCGAATTTCCAAAAGCGGCTGGAGTCATAACATCAGAAACTGAAATGAAAGCCGATAATTGACTTACTTTGCACCGCAAGGCTTGGAAAGAGCTGTTTTCATATTAATAACAGTTTTCGCTGCTACTTATTCATGTAAACCTGATATGAAAAAAAAATCGCATAAGTCTCTTTTTCTGTCGCATTCAACGGTCTTAAAATATTTCCACGAATTTTACCGACTAATTGTTCAAATCTTGATCACATTATTTCGCTCTCCATCAAAAACGTGAAGAAAAATAGCCTCAGCAGTTATTCATTGTGCTAAAGTTATTAATTTATTCGGTAAGGTTCCAAGATTAGCATTATTTTTCTCAAATAGAAACACATTATTTATGGATAATAGCCCACTTTAAATAGTAATTCAAGAAATGTTAGAAGCACAATATATTAAACAAAGCCGAAATGAAGATAACCTTTTCTTCTATAACGTCAAAACGATTTCGAAATCAATAGAAAGCTCAATCGCCTTGTGTATACTTCACCTGTGACGCTAAAAACAAGCAAAACCTTGGTTTTAATTAAAAACCTGGCACTGTGAACATTACTCTCTCTAGCAAGTAAACAGAATCTCAAACCGTATTTAAAAGCTGATTCAAAAGAAAATGTAGGGCGGTCATCTATTATTATGTTAATTTTTATCTTAATGTGCGGTTGTTTCTTATCTCATGCAGTTTTGGCGTAAACGGGAAAGCATTTGTTTGGATTAAACGTTCTCAGCTTCAACCATCAAAGAGTCAATTTGAGTCCACGGGATAGTTCGTGAGAAGACGTCTGCTCTTAGACATTTAATGACTTTATTCCGAGTATTTTGAAAAGACAAGCAGATGGCGGATTAATCCACAAACTAGACCTGGAGGCGGGGATATCCTTGAGCAAGGAACAAACATATATCATTTTACTACAGCGTGTACGTGATACACTCTAGTCATTCAAATAACGTCAAGTTCATTTGAAAGAAAAGAGTACTTACCATACTTAAACTTGGAATGTTTTGTGACAGCGTGGACTGGAGGTAAAGTTACGCAACAGATTTTGTTCAACGAAGATTCTAGATAGCAGACATCAGAGCAGAAATTAAGACTACGTACTCTTCACAAACTGCCTGCAGCTAAAAGAGGAAATATCTCAAGGCTACTCAGTCTGGCTTAAGACTGGATGATCACGAAAACTCGGTGGTAAAGTGAAAAATATAAGATTTCATACAACAAGGAATTCAAAAGCAGACACTTAATACGGAAAAAGTCAAAGCTGCAAAATTTTCTGAGAGCTCACGATAAGTGACCATATTTTCAAGACCTGTTGCAAATAGAAGTGCTTGGTAATAAGATGAGTGCTACTCCAGAGCCAGAAAAGAAAATCAATAATACATTCCCCGAAACAGAGCCAGAATCATTCGATAATCGTCCGACAGCTGAAGGAATAGCTGAACCTCTACCAGAATGGTCGAAGGCGGTCGATGAATGGGGGATTATCTGGGATTTTCACCAGTATGGCTTAGGTGCGATATTTGCCTTTGTTTTCTTTTTGATTGTACTTTCCCTGTGGAAGCGCTTCAAAGGAGTGCGAATCCTCAAACAAAACAAGGTTCCCAGCGTTGTTTTGAGTCTTCTGGCTCTGTTTTGCGCCACAAGAAGTCTGTTCCTCTGCATGGATGCATACCACTGGCGGAAAACTGCACCGTATTATGTTATCAACGTTCTTTGGGGCATCGGACAGCCTTGCATCATAACCGCCTACACCCTGATGTTTATAGTGTTAAGGAACGCACTGATACTCAAACAGCGGTTCCAAAAATGGTATAATACAAGGAATATTGCCTTAGCAACGCTGCCATATTTTTTCTTCGCGTTTGGAGCAGAACTTGCTATTTCTTTCGTTCCAGAGTTCAAAGGCCTCGCCCTTACTTGCCAGATTTTGTACCTTTTATTTGGTTTTTCTCTTACGGTGTTTTACTTTTTCATATCGATTTTAATCTGGAAAAAATTCAAATTGATTGACTCCTCCAAACGTTGGGCTACGGAGCCAGCGGAAGGTCGTGGATCCCGCACGCGCGCAATTCTCCGCATGTGTCTCGCAGCGGTCGCGGGCGGCGTTTTAATTTGCGTTATGCAAGTCTACGCAATGGCGGGCGTCTATGGCGTTTTTTCCGATGCGCGCTTCGTTTCTGCATGGCCATGGTTGGCGTTTCAAACAATGTTTCGTCTCGTGGAGATTTACATGACAGTTGTACTGTTTTATGCCGTCAGTGCGAGGAGCGTCGACAAGAAAGGTGAAATGACACCGACTACGATTGTTTCAGCGGAGATTCCCGAAAATGTTAATGCTATTGAATTGCAAACGGTTTGATTGGCAAAAGATTTTCCTTGTGGGAAAACAAGAAAAATACATCTTCAAATTTATCACTAATGAATTGAACAGTGGTTTTCATTTAATAAGAAGGAAACGCTAACATTGTTTTGAGTTCTTTTGTGTGTTGTGTTGCTAGGCCAAGGAGGTTTGGGCACAAAAACGAGGAGCACGTTTAATAATTGTGAAAAAAACATTTCGAAAAAACACGACATACGTTAGGCCCTGTCCGACACTACGACCTATAAATTTCAAATCGGTGTTCTCACTCTGAGGTGAATAGTAGAACTAGCCGTACAAATTAAGTTGTTTTCAAGTTCACGGGGCGTAATGTTGGCGAGGCCCCAAGTGACTAAAAACATGCATTAAGAACTGAACGAGGACAAAGTATCAAAATGTTTGTATGTATCCTAACATATATTTCCACTAGAACTAGTTTGTTTTTGACGAAGCGTTAATTAAAAATTAACGGGATTGTAACCTTTGAGGATAATTATTAAAAGTCCTTTGTTTATACTGAGTTTCGTAAAACATTTATTGATCTTAGACTAAAGAGATATAACCGTGATAAAGTTAGTTTCTTGGAATCAAAACCTGTTTATAGTAAAATTTTTTTTTCTGAAATTGTCTTTGCTGACTACGTAAAATACTTACGGTGATTACGATACTAACAATACATACGTTACTTACAATACTACCCCTATTTCTATTTATACTTATCAATACTCACGTTGAAAACTACTCACAAAAGGATTTATCTTAAACTTGCTAACTCTAAAAATTATTTGATGCTTTCACTACTTGCATTACGAATTTTAAATCAGGAATTAGCTTATCCTACATACTATAAACAATATTTACTTACACTAGGTGAGACAATTACAATTTATGAGAGGTAGACTACAGCACATCAGTTACGTTTCGGAGCTTAAGTTCGTTAACGGAAAAAAAAAGGAGTTCAGACTTTGAATGAACCAACTACATATTCTCTCAGTGTGGTATCCAAAAAAAATAAATATTATAGTCATATTATCATAGTCATATGTTTCGAGGAGAGATTACAGCTGTTTACGAGATGAAAACGAGCTTGGTATTCAAAGCGAACAGAGTTGTTAATAAATCACGCTCTCCAACGTCTTTTGTCATGCAAAGTGAATGACGCCTAAGGGACTCGACAAAGGTTTCGTGAAAGGGTGTGTTTTTTTTTCAAAAAACTTAATGACACCCTACACAAACAATAAACAATATCACATGAAAATAGAGCTTGGTATTTTTAATTTGAATGCCCACGCA